TTTTCAATTATATTATTTTCATTTGATATATATAAACGAATGTGTGATACGGTGGGAGAACTGACTTGAGGTTTTGCGTTTGTGTTTGCAAATGTTTTAGTTTAGCAAGAGTCGCCACCGACTTTTTATTTTATCCAAAGGAAAGGTCAAAAAGCACAGGAAAGACCTTTGAGATGTTTTCTTGGGTTTGGGGGGTAGATTATGAAAAGGGAAGGTGCAAGAACCCTTTTCATCCATGGTTATCCATGGGCTCTTAGTTACTTATTTAGATCACTTGCTTTTGCTTTTCAATTGTTTGAAATGGTGATTTGTGTGTGGTTTTGAAAATGTTTTGAAAAGAGGCCATCATTGTGGCAACCTTTGTAATGATTCTTGTTTGAATATATACAAAGGTGTTTGTCTTTTGAAAAGATATTTCAATGTTTGAAAGTTTGTTTTGGGAAATGTTTTGAAATTGTGTTGTGATGTGTGTTTGAAAATAGCAAGGATGTTTTTACAAGTTTTGATCAAGTAACTAAGAGTTGTCTACCCTATCTACTCAAAGATCTTTCCTACACATTTTTAACCCTTTCACATTGTTGTTTTACCATTGTATTTGATAAACAACCTTCTGTTTGGATGTTAAACGGGACAAGCGCGCGTCATCGTCTTGACCATGATAGCAAATGTGCTAAGCATCTTTAGCAAGTTTTTTGAGGGACTAGATCATTTTGTATAGGCAACCAAGATAGCGTCATCGAGGGACTAGATCTTTTGTTTTGTTTTTGTTTTTCCAAGATACTAAACATGCATAACATGGCCATTTTAAAGGCAACAAGTGGATGAAACCCTAGGGGTGCATGTGTGTATTGTGTTGTCAATTTACATGCTTTTATGTCTTGTATTAGGTCTAACTATTTGTTTTGATTTTGGATATTGCATACAAACCCTAATCTCTATCATGGCATATTTGAAAGCTATAAATGCGTAAAATAAATCTACGACTATTACAACATTGATATGGGGAGGGGGATACAATTTTGAATGGGGAGTATTTGCAAAAAAATAAAACCCTAAGATTTACTATTACATCCAAATTGGATTCTTTGCATCAAATAATAAATAAGCAATATTTAAATAAGCAATTTAAATATAAATATGCAAAATATTATAAATATGTAAAAAATATTTTTGTTTATTTTTATGTATGTAAAAATAAAATATTTAATGCATTCAAAATAATAAAATAAAAGATTATTTTTATCAAGAGTGGAAACCCTAATTTTCTTTAATAAAAATAATCTTTTATTTTTATACATTAAATATTATATTTTTTATACATTAAATATTATATTTTTACATACGTAAAAAAAACAAAAAAAAACATTTGTTTGCATACTTATAATATTTTACATATTTATACTTAATTTGCTTATTTAAATATTACTTATTTATTATTTGATGCAAAGAATTCAATTTGGATGTAATAGTAAATCTTAGGGTTTTATTTTCTTGCAAATACTCCCCATTCAAAATTGTATCCCCCTCCCCATATCAATGTTGTAATAACCGTAGATTTATTTTACGCACTTTATGCTTTCAAATATGCCATGATAGAGATTAGGGTTTGTATGCAATATCCAAAATTAAAACAAATAGTTTGACCTAATACAAGACATAAAAGCATGTAAATTGACAACACAATGCACACATGCACCCCTAGGGTTTCATCCACTTGTTGTCTTTAAAATGGTCATGGTATGCATGTTGAGTATCTTGGCAAAACAAAAACAAAACAAAAGATCATAGTCCCTCGATGACGCTATCTTGGTTGTCTATACAAAATGATCTAGTCCCCCAAAAATTTGCAAAGATACTTAGCACAATTGCTATCATGGTCAATACGATGACCCGCGCCTGTCCCGTTTAACATCCAAACACAAGGTTGTTTACCAAATGCAATGGTAAAACAACACTGTCAAAAGGGTTAAAAATGTGTAAGAAAGACTCTTGAGTAAATAGGGTAGACAACTCTTAGTTACTTGATCAAAACTTGCAAAAACATCCTTGCCATTTTCAAACACACATCACAACACAATTTCAAAACATTTCCCAAAAAAAAACTTTCAAATATTGAAACATCTTTTCAAAAGACAAACACCTTTGTATATATTCAAACAAGAATCATTACAAAGGTTACCACAATGATGGCCTCTTTTCAAAACATTTTCAAAACCACACACAAAGCACCATTTCAAACAATTGAAAAGTAAAAGCAAGTGATCTAAACAAGTAACTAAGAGCCCATGGAAAACCATGGATGAAAAGGGTGTTAGCACCTTCCCTTTTCATAATCTACCCCCCGAATCCAAGAAAACATCTCAAAGATCTTTTCTGTATTTTTTAACCTTTCCTTTGGATAAAATAAAAAATCGGTGACAACTCTTGCTAAACCGAAACATTTACGAACACAAACGCAAAACCTCAAGTTAGTTCTCTCACCGTATCACACCTACCAATCCAAAAATCTAAATAAACACTCCTCCTCCAAACCGTTTTACCCACCCAAATAGCAATTTCCTTCCAAATGATCTTCACCATATAGCACTTGAAAAAGTATGGTCTCTACTTTCCTTTTCTATACCGCATAAAACACACTTTTGAGAATCAACCGGGAAAACTATACCTCTTAACATCAAAAGATATTTAGTTGGAAGTCTATTCACAATAAGTCTTCAACCAAAGGACTTTATCTTAAAAGGGACATCCCATTTCCACACCATGCCCAAGGCAACATCATATCTATTTGGAGGACCATACAGTATTCTAAAACTTTCAAAAAAATTGTAACATGAAGAAACCGAAAAAGTCTCATTCAACTCCTTGCTCCAAACAACTTTATCAACTTCTTCTGAGGCAACATCATGCCAAACCAATCTATCTTGGAGGGAAACTACCACCACACCTATAATCGGGCACGACAACTCTCCCCCGCCCAAACCAAAATCACCCCGACTCCACACCCCCTCCTTCCAACCCCACATACCCGCCACCGACGCCTTTTTCAAATGAGAAGCATCACACAAAACCGAAAAATCCTCCACTAAACTCCTTTCCTTCACCCTTCTAGCTTTCCAAAAGGGAGTAGAAAAGTCTTTGCAAATATTAAAGCGACAAAAAGACACAATTGGATCGCTACAATCCGCTCTACCAATTTTAATAATGTCCTTCCACCAATAAGAATGAGACAAAGAAACTTTATTGCTAACACCATCACAAACCACCTTCATAGAAATATCACCATATCCAACCTTCAACAAATTCAACCAAAAGGAATCTTGAACTTAAAGAATCCTCCATCTCCACTTATTAAGAAGAGCCAAATTGAAGTCCGCAATATTTTTGATTCTGAGTCCTCCCTTCTTCGATAAATACACATTCTTCCAACTCACCCAATAAATCTCCCTTTATCCTCTGAACCCCCCACAAAAAATTGCTTTAAATTTTCGTAAGCGACCTTACCCGACATCTTGTAACTATATATTTTTATATATTTTTATAAGTATGTATGCATAACTAATATTTATTTTTATTTATATAATTAGTTATTAATGTACATAAATAATATTTATTTTAATTTATAATTACTAACTAATTAGTTAGTTACTAATATATAATTAATATTTAACTAACAAATATTTATTTTTATTTATATTATAATTTTATTTATTTATATAGTTAGTTGATATTTAACTAACTAATATTTATTTTTATTTATATAGTTAGTTGCTAATATATATAGTTAATCACTAATATATACATAACTAATAATTAACTAACTAATATTTATTTAGTTACTAAAATTTTACAGAATTTAAAAATAGTATACTCTCAGTGTACAATAACTTTATACATACAATCAATTAAAACTTTTATATTTAAAATTTATTGTGATGCTTGTTTCGGTGCAAAAATATTTTACACTGTCAGTGTATTTCCCATTTTAATAAATATTTTTAATATTATTTTTAAAAAATTTACTCATTTAATTTAAAATGATATTATTGAAATCAAAATCATTTAAAAACTCATCTTTATCAATAATAATAATAATAATAATAATAATAATAATAATAATAATAATAATAATAATAATAATAATAATAATATTATTATTAATAATAATAATAATAATATATTTCACATCGTCGGATTGAGTTAACGGATTCACGGATTTTAAAACTCATTCGAAGATCTAACTTATTATTAAGTGACTCTAAGCATTGAGTCGGGTTTTACTCATGTATGAACGATAATGATAAATAGTTGATTGGTTCCGCTTAGATTTGCACGTGGACCGACATTCATGATCATCCATAATTATGATACAAAAGAAAATGTTAAGCTTTTGAAGCCTAAGGTTTAGGCCATTATTGAAAGTTGAAACTGAGTCCTATCAATGATGTGTTAATTTTCGACTGAAGAAAGAAGACATTCTAGTATTGCTTCTAGTATTGCTGCACTAATGAATGGAAATTTTAAACATGCACACAACCACCTATGTTTAGACGAGTTAGACTACTACCAATACCCAGTGGTCAACCAACCTGTAGATAAACTTTTGTCAGGGCCTCCAAATCTTACTGTTTGTTACTACAAATGTGTAGCATGTTCTTGCATGAATAAACTGACATTATACTATTATCTGTATAGTCACACTCTTAACTTCAATTCAATTAAAACAATTCCTTTTTGTTGTCATGGCTATTATAAAATTTTCAACATCATAAACTGGACCACGGGTCCCTATAACAATTTGACTGACTCCAACAAAGCTTAAATGTGATTCTAATATGAGTAGTACTCAACAATTTCAGCTAATATTGAAAACTAAATTAGTTTCTTCAGTTGCAGAAAAGTATGCCCAACAAAACATCATTATAGAACATTGAGCAAGAAAATAAAATTAGAAAGAGCAAAAGTCAAAGCCTTTTTGTTACTACCAATGATGTATGATTTCTCTACTTATAGATGATTTTCTTTATGATACGGAACCTCCACAAGTGGAGCAAGAGGTGGAGGGTTGATTCATTTTGGATGTTGCAATCCGCTATGGTGCTGCGGTCATCTAGTTGCCTGCCTTGAAAAAACAGGCGTTGCTTGCTCACCGGGATCCCATCCATATCAAGAATCACCTCCTTCACATTGGCTATGGTGTCGGAACTCTCAACATTCAGAGTGGTCGTCTTTCCATGCAGATTTCTTAGAAAGATTTGCATCTACATTACAATTGATAACAAAATATAAGAAAGGAAATAAAAACCCCGTTGGCATTTGAAAAACAAATGAACTTGATATAAAATATTACTCAAAAAGAAAATAACAATACTTTAATTGGAAAAAACAACAAATAGCAAAGAAAAATAGAAGATACCTTGCAGGTTATGCAAATTTCTAGCTTGACAAATTTAGAAGAACCAAAATAACTAGATGGAATCACGAGGAACTCTGATGAATTACTTGCTAAAGTAACCTTCTGGATATTCTTCGCGGAAGAATGCAATTTTAGACTGCAATTTTTGGACCTAGCCAATATATCATAACCATAATAGGCCTTAAAAAAGTTAGGATCAATGCAGCTAATATTGACTGAATTTCCCAAAAGCATAGCACTATTATGGAGAATAAATAATTTGCCAGAATTTTCTTCTTGAAGAACAATGGTTTTTTCATCGAACTTCAAGGATACAATGAAGGAGTGACCATAAGAAAATTTGATCAGAGAGCCCTCGTGTTTGTGGCTGAAATGGTTGGACAAAACTCTGGATTCAGCAACAAAGTCACAACCTAAAAGGGGACAGTAACACGGTGCAAATTTGCATCTTTCCACATGCTTTTTCTTTCCAATATACGTTATTGTCTCCCTACAGCCATATTCTTCATTTGAACATGGCATTTCAATAGATTGCAGAATATTCTCTATGGCTTTACAACCTTTAGAGCTAATGCGCGATGAACACTGGACACACTTGTTCTCAAGTTGAGGACAACAGGTAGAGCAAAAAGTATGACCATTATCACACTGAATTGCAACATAAAAAAATCATCAAAATTAGAATTTGAACCAGACATAAAAATAATCATTCTCAATTTATTTTTTTCAGCATTTAATCAAAAGAAACATACAAACTGCATATATAACAGCCACAACAAATTAACTTAAAATAAAATGCATACCTGAAAGACTGGAACAGTTAAGGGTTGAAAACAGTTGTAACAATCGAGAACTTTAGGGTTGGAAATAATAACAGAAACGGAGTTATCCTCTTTACTAGCAACATCTTCTTCGGAATTAACAGAGTCTTTCGAGCATGAATCCATTGCTTGTTTGACTAATAATAGTGATAAAACAAATAATTAAAACTTGATGATTAAGGTGTAGTAATCAAAGAAATACATTTAACAAAATACTCATCGAGCAGCTTGAAGTGTTGGGTTGGCTTTTGGTTTTCCGGAGTCCTCCCCACTTTGGCCTTTCATTACTTTTGATCTTTCTTGGTTTTCTCAATTATCGATTCATTTCCTCCTATTTAAAGCAAAGATACGCATATGCATAATTCAGAATAAAAATATTACGTAGGCTTAGGCCCTCGCTACTACCAAAAAAAATTACTGTGTTACTACCGATTCAAATTCAAAGAATTAATGCATTTACCAAAAAAAAGTTTTTAAAAAACATTAATGTTACCTTTTATGACGAGGATGTTTTATACGATGTTTTGTGTGATATATGGTGGGGTGGTAGGAACTATAGAGGTATATAGTATTTTAGAATAATTTAGATAATTAGAATAATTAATTAGAATCATTTTAATTAATTAAATAAAATAATATTAGTGTTAGAGATGACAAGGGCATAATGGTCAATTGAAAGAAGTTAAGTGAGGGTAAAGGTGAAAAGACTATATTAGGTGTCCAAGGGGGTAAGATTGACATATAGAAAATATTGAGGTTTGAGCGATTCATTATGTACGATCGCTTTTGGAAGAAAATAAGAGAGAAGAGGATAGGGCATAGAGGAAGAGGACGAGAACTCGTTAGAACGCGAAGAAGAAGTAGAAATTGTTGGAAATCTAGGTATGGGGGGTTTATCGTGGTTAATTATAATTGATCTAAGGGTTAGATAATTGTAGATTTGTGTTGGAGTTTTAGGATTTTGGGGTTTGATGATTATAACATGATGTTTGATGATAAATTGATGAAATTGTGGTATTTTCTCGTAAAAAAATTGATCTATATTAACTGTGTTGTTGATGATTGATGAAATCAAGTGAAGCTATGAGGATTTGTGACCTATAACATGATGAAATCGTGTGAATTTGGGACTGGTGCAGTGCAGGAATCGCAATAAGAAAGTCATGTTCGCGTTGCGTCGGCGGGCAATAGATGTGTGTTTCGGGCGGGCAAGCTTCGCCCAAGCAGCGTCGGACAATCAAGAGGCGAAGGAATGGGATAAAAAACAGTCCCTGGACATTTGTGTGGGAGGTGGTATGTCGCTTAGCGAAAGGTGATCGCCAGGCGAGCAAGATGCGTCGTCGGGCGATGGAGACCCGAGGAAAACAGAGCCCCTGGAATTTTTTTATGAGAAGGAAGTTGTCGTTCGCTTATCGTCGGGCGAGCAATCAACATCGTCGGGCGGGCACTAGGCGATGGACAACAGTAGATATTTAAAAGTATCGTAACTTGAGTTTCAGGACTCCGATAGACGCGTCATTCGAAGCTTTAGAAAGCTAACGCGATGAACTATACCTTGGTGGAATTAAATAGGACATAGGTAGTGTTTGTCAAGTACCTAGGCTTTGATGAACAATATGATTTGGTGATTGTTTTAATATGACGTGTGTGTATGTGATGAATTGTTGATGTTATGATGATGTTATTTTATATTATGAAATATGTGTTGTTATCATGATGATTAAATGAATGATGTTGAGTTTTGACTAGCAGTGGTCATATGGTTATTGATATGTTTCGCATCATACATTCATAGCATTTTTTAGGGCATGGCCCGGTGATGGTTGCAGGATATTGTTCTAGTGAATTGTGTAGAACGAATAGTCCAGTGATGGCCTCTATCCCATAGTGTGGTTTGAGTGTAAATTATGATGTGCTCCGGTTCCAAGCGGGAATCGATCCTACTGGTGGGAATATTTGGGGAAACGATGACAGTGTCATCAGTGAAGTTTTGGTACCACATGCATGATCCTAATGAAGTTGCATTGCATTATATGTGGCATTGCATGATGATTGGATTGAATGATGCATTGTGAATGTGTATTTCGTGATAATTGCTAATTGATGAGAATACTATATATCCGATGAATATTATGGTGATGTGAAGGCGTGAGTATAACATGTGGTGTTTCTTTGATGTTGTGTTATAACTACTGTATTTACTCCTTATGTCTTTTATAATGACTGTGATTTACTCACCCTTTCTGTTTGAATGTTGCCCAACACACAAAGGATAAGAAATAGTACGTCGGATCTTAGAGAATAGTCATCGAGTGATTTGTTTATTTGCATAGATTTTATAATGCCTTGCTCTGATGTGTAACATCGGGGATGGGATCATTTGTTTATGAAATGACTATGTCACGTTGTTTCTTTTGAAATTTTAACTACCGTGTGGTATTTGAGTTGCTTTGTTTAGTGAAGATGTTTTGAAGTACTTTAAATAAAGATGTTTGAATTATGAATTTCTGTTGCGAGTTAATTGAAAAACTATGGTTGTTACCCGTGAAGTATTTTACATAATTGATTTTGAAAACCCGTGTTACGGAGCAGGATGCCTTAATTTATTATATGATTATTTGTATGAATATGTGACACCCTTATTGGCGCATTACTATGATCTATGTATCAATTTTTAATTGTGAATATTTCCTTGGGGTTTAGAAGGGTGTTACATTAGTGGTATCAAAGCAGGTCGGTCCGTCCGACCAGGTTTTCTTATGTTGTATATGTCATGTCAGACGATTAGTGTGAGTACATTGTCGATACATGTTTCTAACGTTGGTTTTTTGTGTGTAGAATGGCTGGAAGAAATGATGATGATATTGGTGCAACCTTACAGGCTGTTTCTCAGGCTATGCAACATCAGCTTAATGCTAGTGGGCATGATGGATCCCGTGTTTTCGAGACATTTTAGAGGAATCATCCGCCTATTTTCAAAGGTAGATTCGATCCTTATGGAGCACAAACTTGGCTCAAGAAAATTGACAAGATCTTTCGAGTCATGGATTTCTCAGAGGCACAGAAAGTGTGGTTCGGTATGCATTAATTGGTAGAGAAAGCTGATGACTGGTGGAATGGTACCCGTCAAAGACTGACAATGGTGGGTGAAGCTCTTACGTGGGTTGTGTTCAGCAGGAAATGCCTGAGGAAGTACTTTCCTGAGAATGTGTGCGAGAAGAAAGAGATTGAGTTTCTGGAGCTGAAACAAGGGAACTTGACTATGACTAAGTATGCTTTGAGGTTTGTGGAACTGGCAAAGTATTATCCATATTACAATGAAGCGACTGTTGATTTCTCAAGGCGTATTAAGTTTAAGAATGGTTTGCATCCAGAAATCAAATGGGCAATTGGATATCAGCAGATCCGTGTGTTTTCAGAGTTTGTGAACATCTGTAGAATCTATGTAGAGGACAACAAAGCTCATTCATCTCACTACAAGAGTTTGAACGAGAAAAGAGGAAAGTAGTATCAAGATCGTAAGAAGCCTTATGATTCCCCAGCTAATAAAGGGAAACAAAATGATTATGATGGGAAGAAGACAAGTGGGGAATGAGCTCTTGCTCCTGTCAAGTGTAATAGGTGTGGTGAACAAGGCCACACTTCTAATGAATGTGAGAATAAGGTGTTGAGGTGCTACAAATATGGTAAAAGAAGTCACCATGCTCCTGAATGCAAGAACGATGGTCCAACATGTTTTAATTATAGAGAGAAGGGTCACATCAGTACCCAGTGTCAGAATCCGAAGAAGGACGCTACTGCCCAGACCAACGGTAGAGTGTTCACTTTGAGTGGATCATAGGATTCTGTTGTACCCCAAAATTTGCCCTCCCATATTCTTCAAGAAATTGCCAAGCCAAGTCACAAAATTCCCCAAGGGTTGCACAGTGCAAAGGGCTCCTATACAGTCAAAATTAGGGTTTTGAGTCTGATCAAGAAAAGGGAGTGTTCAAAGGCCCAATCAAGTCTCATATGCTTACAAACATGGTCAAGCATCCTCATATCAAGTTTCAAGGCATTCAGCTCAAGATTGCACAGTCAAAACCCTAAATTGCACTACAGTCAACTGTAGGGGCAAAATGGTCATTTGGCAGTCAAAAGTTCAAATTTTTGGTCAACATATCATTTTGAAGCCACAAACATCATTTGATCAATGCTTGATCATGATTCTCAAAATTTGGCTCAGAAATCATCAAAGATGCAAAAGTTGCTATATTTGGACAGTTGAAAAAGTCAACTGAAATTGACTAGAGCATAACTTTCACATGGATTATCAGAAAAATCCCATCCAAAGCTCATTTTGAAAAGAAAGACATTTCCTACAACTCATATTCATACTTCAAGTCCAAGAAATGCTCTCACAAAAAGTTATCAATTTCAACATTATAGGTCATTTTCAAAAGTCAACAAAAAGGGACTTTAAGTCAAAGGCCATAACTTGAGATTGGTAAATCAAAATGACATGGGACCAAAGGCATTGGTTAAAGGACTCAAAGACCTTTCCAAAATGTCCAAGAACATGAGAAAATCTTACAAATTGAGCAAGTTATGCCTTGTAGAAGTTGGGAAATTTTTGTGAAATGGCAAAGGCCAACTATCCTTGAAACTTCAATTTTTGACAAAAGGGCCCACTTTCTTCCACTTGATTCAGCCTTGTCATGCCACACACGTGTCCCATGATTAATTTCAAGACCAAATATTGATTTTTCTATTTTATTTAATTTTTGATAATTTAATTCATTTTAAATCTTTAAAAATTCAAATAAAATTCAAAAGTCAATGAAATAGTGTCATTTGAATTGGGATAGCTTCCATATATCATGTGCCAGCTCACAAACTCATGCTAGGGTTAGATTATACACTAAGTCTTGGTCTTGGCTTAAAAGAAGGAAAAGTTTGTTAATGAAAAAAGACCTAAGACCAATTCTCTCATGGGCATGGATAAAGGCCAACTAATGACCTAATTTCCTTCCATCATAAGCACTGAGTCAAACCCTAAGCCTTGGACACCATATGCTGCGCTCAAAAGCTTATTGAAAACTTGAAAAATTGGCCATATAACTCAAATCTGAAATCAAGGTTCTAGG